TGTTACCCTACTTCTGCTAGCAGCCAACCAGTTAATGTCCCTGGCCTCTATTGAAATATGAGTGTGTTTGTAAAGCATTACAGATGTAAAATCAGCTGAAATCCAAGGTTTCCGCCTAGTGTAGACAGACCGACAGACAGACGGGGAGGAGGTTGGATGGACTGACCTGCAGGCAGGCAGAAAACAGACAGACCGAGGCTTTGCAGAATGACTTTGCCTTGTCTATGTTAAGAAGAAGAAGAACCCACCCAGGATTGTCTTGATTCTGATGAAATGCTTAGAAAACCCATTTTGCTCCGTGTGTAGCGCTCTCCTACTCTTTGATCATAAATTGTGTGTGTACATTTTGTAAGCGTATGTGTGTTTTAGTATGCTGGTGTATGCATGTGTGGGGTTTTGTGTGTGTACTCATCCGCTTGCGATAAATGCACACAGGTCTGTGTCTGGTGGGACCCGGCAGTCTTTAATCCTGAGATTTTGGCCAGGCTTCGTTTGCATGTGAGCCTTTGTCCCTGCAGGCAGCCAAGCACAGACCCAACAGAGAGAGAGGGGGAGGGCGAGAGAGAGAGGGGGAGTATAGGCTATATCCTCACTACAGGAGGGAGGGGGAGAGAGTCTCACTGATCAGTAGTGGCTTTGCTTCAAAATTGAATTTACATAATATGGCTGGTAGATGCTGGTGGACACAGAGAGAGTGTGTGTGTGGGCCTACTTGTGTGTAGCCTATGTGTGCGTGTCAGCTGTGTGGTCCAGAGAAATGGGTCCTTCAGCAAATGGAGATCGGTGTTTGTGAAACATCAGTGTCATTTGGGATCCATACTTTCCATTTTCCATTAATGCCTGCATATTGCACAACCGCCAGGTTACATGCACTCTATGAGATTTGTTGGTTAGACTAATTCTATCCAGCACCCCCCTTTCAGGATATTTCTGTAGTACGCAGTACGTCTAGGGGGATACTTCACACAATTGCATGATGTTTATCTGGTATTCAGTAGGATAAAAGACATGCTTTGGTGTCTTCGCAGCGGGTTTATTTGGAGCCCTCTTCAAGGTCAATTTGAGAGCGCTCATCTCCTTGCTGGGAGTATGTAAATGAGTGCTCTTTGAGAGAGGGGATGTTGCAATGCTTTGCACAGCCCTCCAGCAATGCAAAAATAAATAAATGTGAGGGGATGGTTTCTCTCTCTCTGCTGCTGCCTCTTTCTCCCCCTCTCTCTTGTTGACTCTCTCTCCCTCTCTCTGACTCATTCTCTCGCTCGCTCTCTTTCTTTTTCATTGACTGTCTCTCCCCCTCTCACTCGCTCACACAAACAGTTACACAGAGAAGGCTGTTAGAGTAAACAACAAGCAGTTGCAGTTCATACAGGCGTTTAAGTAGACACATTAGCCATTAGCATGGAGCCCCTGTGGCACCACAGCAAAGCAGACTGCTGGAGAGGGTCTGTTCTGTTGTATCTTTGTGAACGGCTCTCTGTTGTTGCACTGTGCTGACCTGGGCTGATAGTTCGTTTTTAAATTCTTCCAGTTAGTTGCTATGATCATTAGACTGAGACGAACCTGGCTAGTTATCGGTTACTCCTCCTCCTCCTCCGCTTACTCCTCCTCCTCTCTCTCTCCTCCTGCTTTTCCTCTTTCTCTCTTTCTAATCTTCATTCTCTTCTACTCTTTCTCCCGCTAAACGTCTATTTCTCCCTCATTTGCCTCTCTCCTCCTTTCCCTCTCCTTCTCATACTCTCTCTCTCACCATCATCAAATAAAGTGTCAGCGATTTTGGCTTGTTTTCTGCTCCATTGCAGAGAGGGGCATTAGCCAAGGTACTGTGACCCTACCTGACCCGACCTAGTAAATGCTGCTGCTGCTGCACCACTCTCTCTGTAGTCAGGGGTTGTTATGTACTCCTGACCTGGCGCCGGACCAGCGGGCCTGCTAAACTGTGTCATCATCCCGTTATTTAGTCCATCCCAGATCTCACAGTACAGTCCAAGGGAGGGAGCAGGAAACGCTGGTGCATTCCGGACTTTTTGGTCGGTTCTGCGAGGGAAGTCTGCGTGTGTGTGTGTGGGGAGGTCGGTCAATGTGTGAGTGAAGCTGGTGGGGGGGGGGGGGTTTGGTCCCCCTGCCTCTTTCGCCCGCAGGCCTGAAGGCCGTGCTGGAGGCTGCCTAGTCTCCCTCTGCCCCTGGGGTAAACACACACATTCACACGCAGCCTGCATGCCTGCATTCACACATCCCATTCAGTCAGACAGCTTTGATTCACAGCATGCTATGGTGTAGTTTTACTTCTACATGATTTCTGATGGATGTTGAGGTGACCAAATTGGGCTATTCAGTGTTTAGGCATCTTCTTATTGAAGGGATTTCCATTTAGTCAAAAGTGAATGTGTAGGATCTAGATCATTTGAAAACCCACTGTGTGTATCTTACCCAGTGTGTTTCCCAGTGTGTGTGTGTGTGTGTGTGTGTGTGTGTGGGGATGGGTGCTTGTCTGTGGAGCGGCACGGCGCGCTCAAACACTCCCGAGCTGTTGTTGGGAGTCGTTCAGATTCAGACACCAGTGATGTTGCCATGGCGACAGTGTGGGTGCACGCTCGTTAGTGAAGCGTAATGTCTCTGTCTTTCTTTCCCTGGCACAGAAGCTCGACTGACTCCAATGCCTCTGCCGGTGCTTACCACACTCGAGTGGTGGAATGGAAAACGTTTTTTCTCTCTTAGACCCTTCATGGCCTTATACAGACACGGGTCTCTGTGTCTTTTTGAATATCATGAACATACTGTGTTTGGTAGGAGGGCAGAAGCCTTGCCTAAGGAAACTGGCCTGGGTTGTGTTCATTAGGCACGAAATGGACCAATGCTCCAGTGAAGCGGGGAGGTGCTATCTGAACTTGTCCAATAAGATATGTTATGTTTTCCATTGCAAAATGTTTTGAAACAGTTTGCCCTAATGAACACAACCCTGTTATATAGCTCTTGACATTCGTAATTGATGGACGCACCAAGCCCACGTGTCTGCCGTTTAGAAATGTTTTGTGATGATGTGCCCTAATGAACAGAACCCTGTTTTTGTTGTTTTTCCTCAGTCATCGATGGAAGAGGTAGAGCTGGTCAAGGCTGGCTACTGGTGAGCTCACGCCTCTCTTTCACAACCTCCCAACTGACTCCTCCTCCTCTCTTTCTGGGTTTTGATGACCTAATTTTTTTCTCATGAGTAATGTGGCCCGCTGCATGCCCCGGAGGGCACGGAGGTGTCAGATATAGCAGGACACCTACAAAACCTGACTCACACACTCCGACACCGAGCCCGTTACGTCTGCTGAGACGTGGAAGAGCCCAGCTCCCACTGCTGGGCCGTATTCATTAGTGCACACCATAGCTAAACGTAGCAAGGTATGTCTTGCAACGGAAAACCTTTTGCAACGAAAATAAGAGTTTCTTATTGGTTATCTTATAAGTCCAGGTAGTCGCTCCCCGTTTCGGTCCGTTTGCTGCCGTTTGATGTCTAGTGAATAGGACCCTGGTTTCTTGAGTCCGATCCCGTCCTCTTGTCTCTACATTTTAGATTTGACATATAATTTAGTTTGCACGTCAAGGTAGGAGGGCTGTTTGAGTAGTGTACATCATCTTTAACCTTTTTAGTCATCTCAGAAGCAAGAACCAAATATTTTATGCACTGGCAGCCAACTGTCTGTCACACTAGCTTTTTTGGGGGGTTGAGAGTTGAGAAACTCTAGCTCATCTTTGAACGAATCTTGGGTTTTGATTGTGAGTCTAGTGTTGAATTGTGTTTTAGTGGTTGTGGCCAAGCCGAAGTTTCAGCCTTTAGTTTCAGTTGGATGATTCTCTCACTGGTTTCAGTATCCTACCCTTTAGCCAGAAGGGGGCTTATGGAACCACTTGCATCATCGGAGTATCTTGGAAGCTATCCTGAATATTTTATGCTATCTTGACAGTGCAGCTTTATGGAGGAGTTTCTCATATACCTACCCGAGGGGAGTGAGCAATACTTAAAAAACAGTTTTATTCGCACATTGACACCCACGCGCATGCACACACACAAACACACACACACACACACACACACACACTCCTATGCCTTCATTCACGAACCAGAACTAGCATGCTTACCAGTGCACACGGGAGACTAGCTCCTTCTCACATACACATGCCTGTACAGTGGATGCATCCCAAATGGCACCCTATTCCATACATAGTGCACTACTTTTGACCAGAACTCTATGGGCCCTAGTCAAAAGTAGTGTACTATATAGGGGATAGGGTGCCAGTTGGAATGCTGCCAGTAACAAAAGCTGGGATTCTTCATTTCCACGTGCAGGGATGTGTTTGTTGTTGTGGGGGGTAGGGTGTCTGGGTATGCATGTTCTCAGAGGACAGGGAACTGTCTCATGATAGTGATTCAGAGAAAAGGGGCACTGGGGGAGGGAAGGAGGATGACACACCAAACAAGGTTACAGAGGGGAGAAATAGACCTCTACGTCCATCCATACTAGCATACCACTTAGGATGAAGCCATGAGTTAGGATTGCATACTTAGTAGTATGTTAGTGTGGCTATTCGAACAGAGCCTCTGTCTGTGTTTCTCAACCCCTGGTCTAAGATACTGTTGTCCTGTCAGTTGGTGGACCAGTCATCAGTATCCAATGCTATGGTGCGGTGCAAAGTCAAACCAAGTCAGCGTTCATGATTTGGTTAGTTGTCAATGTCACCTGCTAGTTTTGAGTGATGCGAACCATCTAAGATTCGATCATGCCAGGGGTGCCTGATACAACAGTGGCGTTCCAAAACTTTTGTAAGTCACTAACATGCACATGTTGTGAAGTTTCTTAACATTTTCTCCTGTTTTCTTTTTTCCTTCCCTCCACCCCTGTCTTTACCAGTGTGCCCAAGGACTGTGAGAGCTCCTTGAGGAGACTCCAGGCACACACAAACTTACACACACACTCTCTCACACACACACACACCTCACACTTACTGACATCCAGATGATGCTGGAGGTGCAAGAGGAAAGAGCAGCAGCCACAGCAGGAAACTTCAGCCGGAAAGAGCGCGTCAAGAAGGAGCGGGACGAGGCAGGCCCAGACAGTGGCCGAGCCAATAGCAGCACTAACCCCTCCTCTAATAACCACAACCCCGCCCCTAACTCCGCCCTCGCCAGCACAGGCCATAGGAACCCCCGGGCAAAGGCCACACCCTCGGCCAGCCCGCACCTGCACTTGACTCCGCCCTCCGTCTCCCTGGGATCGCCGTCAATGCATTCCAGCAATCCCAAAGTGAGGAACTCCCCGTCGGCTAACACGCTGAGGTGAGCTAGGTCCATGTCTGCTATTATGTCTCTCTCTTGGCTCTTTAAAACAGGGGTACACCTCAACTTTAAGGACAAATTATCCTCCGCTCCGCCCGCGGGCCACAGGTTGTACATTCCTGCTTGACAACCTGTCAGTCCCACTGCATAATGAAAGAGTTTGGATGCCTTCCACGTTGTCTCAAAAGCAATCGGGCTGCGTATCTCTTGCGATTGCTGTATCACCTCAATGTGGTTCTTGAGATGTTTAACACTTCTCCAGGCGTTATGAGATCGGATAGTCTCTACAATTAAGACTACCTAGAACGAACCCTTTGTCCTTCTCTGATTAAGACCACCATGTTGGCTGCCATGCCATCTGACTCTCCATTCTGTGTTGTAGTTATAGTGTGGTATTTATTGAATCCTGTCTAGTAGTCGGATCTAAGTCCTCCGCTCCTAAACCTGCCAAGAGGCCAGGCGAGCTCAGATCTAGCAGATCTGGCATCCTGTGTGAGGTTACATGACGACCAGACTTGGTGAACTACTCTGGCCTGTTAAAGCTTAACCTAGTGCAGCAGGTCCTGGCTGTGCGTGAGCCCTGGAACAGTGACATGAGTGTCTCCACCCTGCAGCTGCCTCTCTGCCAGCCCATCCCGGCCCGGCCTGTGCTGACTCAGGCCCTCTGGGGCTAGTATAAAGGCTGCAGCTGCACTGCCAGAGCCCCGCTGGGGCCCATCTCACAGTAGGCACGCCGGCCATATTGGCTCAACGTTTGGCTTCGGATCCATATTAGCTCCGGTTTTGGCTGCGAGGCCATTTTGGCTGGGTTTTTAGAAGAGTGCTAGGGCTTATGTTTCACTGCTAGCTGGAAAGGGAGAGCTGGAGAGGAAAGCTCCATTTAAATGGAGGATTGACTGAGGCCTGGTAGGGGCCTGTTTGGGGTTTGTTGTTACTCCCATTGAGTGCTGTGACTGCCAGTCAACTATTTTCAATCAGTCGGTGGACTTTTAGCCCAGTGCAGTGGTCATGCTAAACCTTGTACCACCAGCAATGGATTCTGGCAGTGTTCTCGAGCTACATTAGTGTGTGGTCAGACCAATGACTGAAGAGGAAGCGAGACACCCCACTCGCTGTTTTTATTTTCTGGTTCAATGAAAGTCCATGAACTAAGTAGACCATACCCAGCTGCTATTGCATTGGTGTCTATAGAAGACACATCCAGTTAAGTACTGGAACTGACAATTATTTTTCAATGCCTGAGTGAACTATCTTCATTTATCCACCATCTTTGGTCAGAGTACCCCTTCCGCATCAGTTGTGCTTCCCTGTGTTAGGTTCAACATCCCGTTTCTTCTCCGACTTCACCGTGTCGGCTACAGAGCAGCCCCCTGTCCATATGTAACTGGTCTCCATGGCAATGGGGCGAGTTGTGTTCCTGTCTCTAGGTTTCGGCCCAGCACAGGGAGAAATAAGGCTGTGTACTAGTGCCTACTTTAACAGGGCACCGATTATATATTAACACCCCCCTCCACCTCCCCTGCTGTTCCCAACTCTGTCAACAAAGAAAGGGTGAGGACTGGAGGTGGCCGTGTTTACCCTTTTATTAGTCACTCACCTGCATGCGTCATGCCTCCCCGGCCAGGATCTGGGCTGTGTTCATTAGGGCACGCAACAGAAAATGTTTTAAGAGGTTTTCAACGGAAAATGAAAAGAAGCGTTTCTTATTGGACAAGTCCAGGGAGTCCCTCCCTGTTTCAGTCCATTTTTGAACGTATTGGTGCCTAATGAACATGATCCAGCTGCTGATTTAAGAGTGGCGCTTTCTCAGGGCGGGGAGCTGCCATGTGCCTCTCTCAGCCTCTGGGAACTAGTCTCAGCTGTAGTACTTGCCTGTCTGTTCTCGCTGGAACGTTTATGTAAGAGAATATTAATGGCTCTTCTGTGATTTCTCATGTGTTGTTGATCATGACGGCAGTTGGTGGTTTGATGTACAGAATGGGTGTATTATTTTCTTCTGTTTAAGTGCATGCGATACGACTTTCTTTTGGCTTTCCTGTATTTTTTAATTGTTTGATGTTCCCCCACTAACCCTGGTTGTCTCTTCTCTCCATCAGCAGTCCCAAACAGAAGCAGGAGGCCATGGTGCGCTCCCCACCCGTCATGTCTCCCTCCAGCGCCGCCCAGATGGATTCAAAACTGCCCAATCAGGGAAAACCGGGGGGCGCTGGCAGCCAATCGCAGCCCTCGCCCTGTGACCCCAAGACTCTAGGCCCTAAGGGGCCTGTAGGGAGCCTGGGACTAAAAAACGGACAAGGCCTGAATGCAGGCAACGGGGCCAAGGGCAAAATGAAGAGGGAAAGAAGCACTTCGGTGGAGTCGTTTGAGCAGCGTGACACAGGGACGCCCAACAACGAGGGGGATCAGAAAGGTAAGGCCGAGCCCTCCCCTACAACTAGTGATGGAGCCATCAACAGGTTTAGTCTGTCAACCTAAAAGAAGGCTTTTGATGTGGAAGACAGAGTTAAGATATGCACATGCAACTCTTAATGTCAAGTAGGTCATTTTCTCCAGAATCTCAAGGCAGAATATGGCCCCTAGTGAAAATGACTGTTCATACCAAATAGTGAGAAGCTCCTGTTGAAAAGCAGTGTTGTTTTTTTTCACCTTCAACATCACATTGCTGTTGCACCTTCTTCTTAACGGTCCGCCGGGACATCAACTAGTCAGAGGGGTGAACTCATACCGGCAAAATACAAGGACTAGGTCTAGGATGTTGAAGTGTGCATTATTAACTCATGATATTGAGTTGTCTGAGTGGGCTTGTGTCAGTGGGTGTGTATTTATGCTCTGTCTGTGTGGGCTTTACTCTCTGTGATTTGTGACGGATGTAGAGTCGTGTCCTTATAAGATGGCTCCCAGGCTTATCTGGCATGTCACGATGGCCCCCAGGACACACTATTCTTGGTGGCTGTCTTCCTAGTAAGAGAGAGCGTATGTATGTGTATATGTGTGTGTGTTCCTCCTCGGGGCTGGCTGTGGTGCTGCATTAAGACATCCACACCCCCGTTTATCTCCTGGTGGAAACAACTCTGTGTGGGCTGGAGCCTTGGAAGAAACCATCTCACTGTGTTAGAGGGGGTGTCCAGTCATTTTCCCCTTAGTATTTCCCTTTCACTGAGACCTCTGGTGGTTACTACTGAGATTGCTGTTACTGAGCGGGATCTAATTCTACTTTCATATATGAAATCATATAAATGTGAACTGTATTTTTCTTTGATAATGAGCCTACCACAACTAGATATTTATAGATGAATGAAAATGACAACCCTTATATTTTACTATCATTTGTAGAAGGGTCCTCAGCTGTGTTCCAGTTTTAGTGTGGCAAGTAAATGGTGAATGGGTGTAGTGTATATTAATAAAATACACTCCCAGAATACCCCTCCGGACACATCAGTTTGATTGCTTAGTGTTAATGTAGATTGTTAGGTAATTGTTGGTTTAATTGACATGCTTTAGGTGTGTGCCAGTGGCCATTTTGTTTGTGGCATGTGCGTCTGTTGATGTAGCATGTGGATCATTCTGCGCAGGGAGCTTCCACTCCATCATGTCAATCTCCAGCTAACACACACACACCACATGCGCGCACGCACACACACCATCCCACCTCATAAAGTTTTCAGGCTCTATGCCTCGGGGCCTGCAGTGCACTGCTCACAGCTGCTTGCCTGGAGGGGCCCACAGGTTTGGGGCTGGTGGTGTGGACAGAAGGTTCTACAGTTCTGAAAGCGAGTGGTTTAGTTTGTCGACAGTGCACACTCATAGTGATGTGTGAGACTGACTTCATTTTAAAGTATACATACAATGGCAGACAGGGTGCTGAAGTAGGGATGCAGATTAAGCCTAGTCCTGGACTAAAAGTACTTGAAATAGAGATTTATTGGATCAGGCTTCTTCTGGGTCAGGGAAACCGGCCTTTAAAGTTTAAGATGCTATCGTAAATTAGTGACTGTGTGTGACACGTTTTTGCATGTTTAGTTGTCTACATGTGAGACTTTGGGGTAAGGTACAGGGTCATATTTGGTAGGCACGAAATGGAAGAAAACACTAAAAAATGGAGTGAAATGGGGTTGTACTATTTGAACGCTCGTTTTTGTTTTCCGTTGCACTACGTTTTGCCTCATGAACACGACCCAGGCCACCCCTCAGTGTCCCGCTGTGCTCCCTGTGGTTGTTGTCTGTTTAAAAGACACCGGGCTAAATAATTTACATTTCCACCTCCCCCCCCCCTCTCGCTCTCTCTCTCAGAGATCAATCAGGACCGCCCACTTTACTCCGCATGCCTCACAGGCAGCTTGTTTCCTTCTACTCATTGGCCCGCTGAGAGCATTGATCTGAACTAGTGAATAGGCAACACGTTATTTGGTCGTAAAGTGTTAATGCTGTCGCCTAGCCTGGCCCCAGGTCTGTTTGTGCTCTACAGCCAACTCATATCATCATTGTCCATAGGATTTGGCAAGACAGCACAACCAGTTCTGGAACCAGGCTATGAATGCTGCATCACATTATTGTAAATCCGCAAACACCAGCTAGGCCTAAATGTGTTGATCAATTACAAAATGCATACGTGTAAAGCAAAAAATAAAAAAAACTTAAAGGATTGGTGATTTAGGTTTGATATCTGATCTGAATCTAAAGAAATACACCTTCACTTGTGCATGGCAAAATCAGTAAATTGTATTGAGTACAGCTTTATAGGTGTGCTTGATTGACACTAGTCTGACTTAGCTCCTTCATCTCTCTCTGGTGTAGAGTTGGGCAGCCGAGCCAAGAGGCTGTGTGTAGCAGAGCGGCGGCAGCCCTACAGTGGAGCGGACTGGTGCTCTGGGGGCGAGAGTGACGAGGAAGACCCAGGGTTCTTTAGTAAGTACTGTAGCTGCCTGGTCAACTGGTTCCAGATCTGTTTGTACAGTCTTACCAACTCCTATGGTCACTGCCACAAACGGTACTCTGGCAGTGTTTACATAGGCAGCCCAATTCAGATCTTTTTTCCACTAATTGATAATTTGACCAATCAGATCAGCTCAAAAGACCAATTAGTGGAAAAAATATCAGAATTGGGCTAACTGTGTAAACGCAGGCAAACAGATCTGGGACCAGACCAGTGAACTGGGCTTGGGAAGGAACAGAAGTGTGATTTGCTATGAGGGCTCCCCGTGGCCCTCCTAAATAGCGCTGAGAAGATTACGCAGGCCAAATGGTCTGGGGCCATATGTGTCAAGCGTCTTAGAGTAGGAAGCAGTTTTGCTTTTTAGATCACAGTGAAATAAGATTACATGGACAAGAACTGATCCTAGATCAGCAATCCTACTCTGGGATGCTTAATACTGTATATCTCTTCTGAATAGTTCCAGGTTGTATTTATTGCAGTGAACAGATTAAATCAGATCTTACAACGCCCCCGGAGAGGTGATTTAACGTTTTAGGAACCACGTATAGCGATATTTTGAGATGTACAATGGAGACAACCTGGAACGCCACCATTGGTTATGAACATCATGGTCTGGTCCATAGTGTTCTCTCATTCTCACCTCTACTCTCTGTTTCTCTCTCCAGACTGTAATTCGACAGAGATGAAGCCTCTGGACTCCAACAACTCGCTCAGCTCGGCCACGTCGACACACAATGCCGTTGGAGGGCAGAGCATGGAGCTGGGCGGCAGCGGTCCCAAGCCCGGGTCAAAGGTCGTGTACGTCTTCACCACAGAGATGGCCAACAAGTAAGCTAGCTCTGGCTGTTTGTTTGTATGGTTGATTGGTCATTGTTCATGATCTGTACATTTAAAGTATACCACACACTGAATTCTCTCTCTAGATTTAACTGTGGCAGAAACTCCCTCAGGCCAATGCTTCTTTGACCAATCCGATGCTTTTATATCTGACAAGGAGGGTGCAAGTTCACACTTCTGGAGAAGGGTCGAGACTAGTGAATGCATTCAAAAATGAAGTGAAGTCACCTGATGGAAACCCTAGTGTGGGGTGTGTTGGCCCCTTCCCTCCCGACGCTTCGGAGAGCTCTAGCCAGTTCCCGGGTCTCTGACCGGTACACTACCATCTCCTCCTCACACCCCCTTTACACTCCACACACCCTTGTCTGCCCTGAGTAGCCTAGCCAGCCCCCTGGTCAGTGTGTTCTGTCTGTCACTGACAGACTAGCTGTGAGTGATGACAGAGGGTCACCCAAACTCCGGGCTGTCCCCTAGTGGGGTGGTCCCATTTGATTGACAGGGGATGACAACAATGTCTCTCTCTCTCTCCCCCCCCCCCCCCCCCCCCCTCTTGTCTGCCCTGAGTAGCCCAGCCAGCTCCCTGCTCAGTGTGTTCTGCCTGTCTCGACCTCTGAATGCTCGGCTATGAAAGCCCACTGACATTTACTCCCGAGGTGCTGACCTGTAGCACCCGCTATAACCACTGATTATTATTTGACCCTGCTGGTCATCTTTGAACGTTTGAACGTCTTGAAGAACGATCTGGCTTTAATGACCATGTAGTCTTATATTCTCCACCTGGCACAGCCAGAAGGGGACGAAAATGGCCACCCCTCAGATCCTGGTTCCTCTCTAGGTTTCTTCCTAAGTTCCTGCATTTCTAGGGAGTTTTTCCTAGCCACTGTGCTTTTACATCTGCATTGCTTGCTCTTTGGGGTTTTAGGCTGGGTTTCTGTATAAGCACTTTGTGACATCTGCTGATGTAAAAAGGGCTTTATAAATACATTTGATAGATTGATGAGGAGAGATGACGAGGCCATTCCAGCCCTGCCACTCCTGTCCCTAACCATGGAGCTCTCATCACCTGTTTAGTTCACCTGTGTAGTTCAACTGGCTATTACTGCGTATAGTTGCTTGAACTCCCTCCCAGAGCACATTGGCTGTGTTTACACAGGCATCCCAATTCTGATGTTTGCCCAATTATTGGCAAAAGAGCTGATCTGATTAGTCAAAAGACAATTAGTGATAAAAAATTGCCCTAGACATCTCCTAACCTCATGCTTTGTAGGATTGGATCCTTGAGCTGCAGTGAATGAAGGACTCCTTCTTCTTCGTTGGGGTTTTATGGTGGTGTGCATACCAGTATTGGGTGCATTGCCGCCGCCTACCTGGCTGGAATGTGATGAGACTAATGGAGGTGTTCCAGATTCTGCACTCTAGTCTACATGAATGGAAGAAGTAATTGGAGAGAGTAATTGAGGCTGCTGTGGCCTATTCGCAGACGGGTGATTATGGTTTTTGATCGTCTTGAGTCCTTTGTGGTTATTGCTGATTTGAAACCAGTCGGTGGATAGAGTATATAGATGCCTTCCCTTTCCCCGTCTGTGATTTTGATATGTGAACCAAGGAGTATGCCAAGTAGATTTAAAGGCCCATGATATCAACATGCAGTAAATTAGTTAATAGACCAATAAGAGTTCCAACCCTCTGTGCCAATAACAGCTCATTTCAGTTTTCCACTCCCAACTAAGACCACTCCCAGACAGTCCTAGCTAAATTCTTGCTTGAGAAATTGCCCTTTGCAATTTTGGTTTATTTTTGACTATTTTAATTGAAAACAATCACAGTAAGGTACCTAATTGTTACCCAGAAATACATTTTTAAAAAACGTCTGCATTGGACCTTTTAATGTCTGCTGTGGTTATTGTTCACAATTGTGCCAATATGGCTTTAATGATAGGCTTCAATGATAGGCTTCAATGTCTGGGTTGGCGCCCCCCCCCTTGGTTTGTGCTGTGGTGGAGACCTCTGTGGGCTATACTCGGCCTTGTCTCAGGATTGTAAGTTGGTGGTTGGGGATATCCCTCTAGTGGTGCGGGGGCTGTGCTTTGGCGGAGTGGGTGGGGTTATATCCTTCCTGTTTGGCCCTGTCCGGGGGTTTCTTCGGATGGGGCCACAGTGTCTCCGGACCGCTCCTGTCTCAGCCTCCAGTATTTATGCTGCAGTAGTTTATGTGTCGGGGGGCTGGGGTTAGTTGGTTATACCTGGAGTACTTCTCCTGTCTTATCCAGTGTCCTGTGTGAATTTAAGTATGCTCTCTCTAATTCTCTCGTTCTCTCTTTCTCTCTGAGAACCTGAGCCCTAGGACCATACGTCAGGACTACCGGGCATGATGACACCTTGCTGTCCCCAGTCCGCCTGGCCTTGCTGCTATTCCAGTTTCAACTGTTCTGCCTGTGGCTACGAAACCCCTACCTGTCCCAGACCTACTGTTTTCAACTCTTAATGATCGGCTATGAAAAGCCAACTGAGAGACCTGAGCCCTAGGACCATACGTCGGGACTACCGGCCGTGGTGACTCCTTGCTGTCCCCAGTCCGCCTGGCCTTGCTGCTATTCCAGTTTAAACTGTTCTGCCTGCGGTTATGGAACCCCTACCTGTCCCAGACCTGCTGTTTTCAACTCTTAATGATCGGCTATGAAAAGCAAACTGAGATTTATTCCTGATTATTATTTGACCATGCTTGTCACTTATGAACATTTTTGAACATCTTGGCATGGTTCTGTTATAATCTCCACCCGGCACAGCCAGAAGAGGACTGGCCACCCCTCATAGCCTGGTTCCTCTCTAGGTTTCTTCCTAGGTTTTCGCCTTTCTAGGGAGTTTTTCCTAGCCACCGTGCTTCTACACCTGCATTACTAGCTGTTTGGGGTTTTAGGCTGGGTTTCTGTACAGCACTTCGAGATATTAGCTGATGTAAGAAGGGCTATATAAAATAAAATTGATTGATTGATTCATTTATTAATCTGATTTGGAAATGGGACTCTTCCACCTGTAGCATGTTTGAAATGCACACACACACACACACACACACACACACACACACACACACACACACACACACACACACACACACCTACTCATAAGTGTGCCCCTCTGTCTGCAGGGCAGCTGATGCGGTCTTCACTGGCCACTCGGACAACATCATTGCCTTCCACATGAGCAACATCTCCAAGGGCAACAAGCCCCATCTACCTGTGGTAAGACTAACCCACTTCAATACAAACTACTTTTAACTAGCTTAATATTTCTCATAACATTTGGGGAATCATCAAAACCTATCAGACCATTTGCATTGTGCCCCATGTTGGTCTGGTAATATAATGTTAAAACTTTAAGCATGGTTCGGATAATGTTATGATATTGGTCCAACTCAAAATAATTATGTATTTTCTAAAGCTATGTTAATTATTCAACCGGGCATGCTTTGAGTGTCTGTTAATGTGTAAGAGTCAGTGAACGGGAACTTTTGGTAACCCCACCAACCCCTCTCTCGCTCTCACCCTGTGTTGTAGAATAATCAGATGGGACCCCCTCGGGGTGACTCCAAGCAGCCGGGCGGAGCCCCCCAGCAGCAGTCATCTCACCCTTCCGACCAGAACCACCAGCAGGCCTCCAAAGCACCTCCACCAGGCCAGCAGCAGCCAGCAGAAGCTCAGCCTCAGGGGGCCAAGCCTGGGAGCTTCCCCCAGGACGGGGCCTCCTCTGGGGGCATGGACTCTAAGAGCGGAAGCCCCCAGGACGGCACGCCCCACGACCCTAACAGCAACCCTGGAGGGACACCCGGCCACCAGACCCCCTCCGGGGCATCCCAACAGGGCTTCCCCTCTCTGGACCTTCCCAATGGGGCCGACGCTAAACTCACGGCCCAGCAGCAGCAGCTGGCCCACGAGCTGATGTCCAGCATGGGGGACAACTCAGAGGGCCTGTCCCAGGAGCAGCTGGAGCACCGCGAGCGCTCCCTGCAGACGCTCCGGGACATCCAGCGCATGCTCTTCCCCGACGACAAGGAGTTCTCCCTCAAAGACATGGTAGCCATGGGGCAAGGCAACCCGGGCGGGCCCCCTGGGTCCAACCCCGGCATGATGGAGGGGGGGCCCAAGAAGCCAGGGGAGCAGGGCCCCCTCCAGGCCATGATGGCCCAGTCCCAGAGCCTGGGGAAGCCTGGAGGCCCCGGGGGGCCCCGGCCGGACGGCCCTCCGTTTGGGCCCGGAGGCCTCAGAGACATGCCCTTCTCCCCAGACGATCTGGGGCCCCCGCCTCCTGGGCCACATATGAACTCTCACGGAGGGCCCGGCGGTGAGCACGGGGATCACACAGGGATGAACCCGGAGCAGATGGCATGGCTGAAGCTGCAGCAGGAGTTCTACGAGGAGAAGAAAAGAAAGCAGGAGCAGATGCAGCACCGGGGGCCCATGGGTGACATGATGATGCACCAACAAGGCCCCCGGGGCCCCATGATGCGCGGGCCCCCGCCTCCCTACCAGATTAACTCGGCTGGGGAGATGTGGGGCCCAGAGCACTTCCCAGAGCAGATGAGCATGGGCCCCCGGGGCCCCATGCACCCCCACATGCAGAGGATGCCCGGCGGCTTCCCTCCTGGCATGATGAACCCGGGTATGGAGGGCGGCCCAAACCCCAGGGGGCCCCGGACCGGCATGAACTGGCCCGACGACATGGGACCCAACATGGGCGATGGCAGGGGTTTCCCGCCCGGACAGGGGCCGTTTGTAGGGCCAGGGGGTCGGGTGGAGAGGTTCCCCAACCCACAGACGGTGCAGGAGGCCATGTTCCAGCAGGGCATGGGGGGTGACAAGCAGGGCATGGGGCTGCCCCCGGGCATGATCATGGAGATGAACAGGATGATGGGGGGTAATGGCCCCCGGGGGCCAATGGACGGCCCCGGCAATGGCCCTAACGGAGGAGGCATGATGTTTCCCAGAATGCCTGGCGACGTTGGCCCCATGAGCCCATCCTCCAGGATGGAGTTTGTCAAGGGCTTGGGCCGCGACATGGGCCATGAGTTCAGCATGGGCCCTGGGAACATGAACATGGGGCCCAACCCCCAGATAATGCAGGCTAAGATGAGGGGGGAACCTCCCATGAACATGAGCCCCGAGGAGATGATGAAGATGAGAGGAGGCTCCATGCCAGAGAACATGGGCCCTCAGAAGATAATGCAGGGGCCTCCCTTCCCTGACCAGGGGCACCACCCAGGGGACTTCAACATGGGCCCCAACCGGCACTTCCCAGGCATGGGGCCTCATGGGCCAGGGCCTGGGAACCCTAGGGGCCCCAGGGGCGAACCCCCCTTCGGCCCTGACCAGCGAGGACCCAACCATGGCGGCAACGGTCGCCTCAGCCACATGCCCCCCAACCCGGGCCCGCCCCCCAACCAGAGGAACATGGGGGGCCGCAAGGGACCCCAGGACATCCAGGGTGGCCAGGCTAACTCACCCAATATCAACCCCCTCAAGTCCCCTACGCTGCGGCAAGTCCAGTCCCCCATGCTGGGCTCGCCCTCTGGGAACCTCAAGTCCCCCCAGACGCCCTCCCAGCTGGCCGGCATGCTCCAGGGGCCTTCGGCGGCGGCAGTGGCTGCAGCTGCGGCGGCCGCCTCCATCAAGTCTCCCCCCATGATGGGTTCAGCCGGAGCCTCCCCCGTCCACATGAAGTCGCCCTCGCTCCCGGCCCCCTCCCCAGGGTGGACGTCGTCCCCTAAGCCCCCCATGCAGAGCCCGGGCATCCCCCAGAACAACAAGCAGCCGCCGCTCAGCATGACCTCACCCAACATGATGGGCAACGTGGAGCAAGGTGAGTCCCAGAATGTTCTCCTCTGTTAGCCTTCCATCAATTCAGTTCAGTAGATTGTGCTTAATGGACTGAATCTTGACTTGACTTAACTCAGACTCAGGCAATGGGACATTTTTTATGAAAGCTTGACTTGAATTAGGATTCAGCCCTACGTGTTCTCTGCATAAGAAGATACAGTGGATATTTATGTAACTAATCTCTCTTCTCTCTCCCCTTCCTCCTCCTCTCCCTCTCTTCTCTCTCTCCTCCTCCTCTCCCTCTCTTCTCTCTCCCCTTCTCCTCTTCCTCTCTTCTCTCTCCCCTTCTCCTCTTCCTCTCTTCTCTCTCCCCTTCTCCTCTTCCTCTCTTCTCTCTCCCCTTCTCCTCTTCCTCTCTTCTCTCTCCCCTCTCCTCCTCCTCCTCTCCTCCCTCCTCTCCTCTCTCCTCCTCCCCTCTCCTCCTCTCCTCCCCTCTCTCCTCTCCCTCTCTTCTCTCTCCCCTCCTCCTCCTCTCCCTCTCTTCTCTCTCCCCTTCCTCCTCCTCCTCCTCTCCCTCTCTTCTCTCTCCCCTTCTCCTCCTCCTCCTCCCTCTCTTCTCTCTCCCCTTCTCCTCCTCCTCTCCCTCTCTTCTCTCTCCCCTTCTCCTCCTCCTCCTCTCCTCCTCCTCTCCCCTTCTCCTCTCCTCCTCCCCCCTCTTCCTCCTCCTCCTCTCCTCCTCCTCTCCCCTTCTCCTCCTCATCCTCCCTCTCTTCTCTCTCCCCTTCTCCTCTTCCTCTCCCTCTCCCCTTCAGGAGGGAATGGCCCCCCCACAGCTCCCCCTTCCAGTAGTGCTTCCAGTCTTCCATCTGGCAGCCCCTACGCCCTGCCCCCTGAGCCCACGATATCCCAGAACCCCCTGTCCATCATGATGTCACGCATGTCCAAGTTCGCCATGCCCACTTCCACGCCCCTCTACCACGACGCCATCAAGACAGTGGCGAGCTCGGACGACGACTCGCCACCCGCCCGCTCTCCGAACCTGCCGCCCATGAACAACATGTCTGGTAAGAGCTCTGACATGCAGTTATATTTTGCACACACACAGCTTTACCTGAGAGGTAGCAGTTTAGACCAGGCCATTTTCCATTAAAACACATTACAAATCATAAATACTTATACATTTGCAATTGTCTTCTACCCACACCCCTGGAGCCTAAAACTTTCACTATACCAAGGCATAAGTGTATGCCAACCATTTTATTTGTTTTTGTTCTTTGTTTTATGGTTTGAATGTAGTGATCTCACCCTGCCTGTCTCTCTGCTGCCTCCTATAGGTATGGGAATGAACCACCACCCAGGCCACAACCGCATGATGGCTCCCACGTCACAAGGCCCCATGCCCGCTCTTAGCCCCATGGGCATGAACACTATGGGCTCCCAGCCGCTCTCCCACGGCATGCCTAACCAGATGCCCTCGCCCAACCCCATGGGGGGACCCCACCAGGGGCCCATGGGGCCGGGCATGATGGGGCCCCACGGCATGATGATGCCCGGCGGGCAGGACCCAGGGATGGGCAACCCTCAGATGATACCTCAGGGCCGAATGGGCTTCCCCCACCGAGGCCAGGGATTCCCCCCCGGTCACTCCCCTCCTCACCAGGTCCCCTTCCCCCACAACAGCCCTGGGCCCCAGGGTGGTTTCCCCCACGGCATGGGCTTCCAGGTGGAGGGGGGCCCCATGGGCAGAATGGGCAACATGGGCCCCGGCAGGGATCCGGGCGGCATGTGTAAACCCAACACCCCAGGAGGAGGACAGGACTTCAACATGTTCAACAATGATAACGACCTCCACGAGGTCATGAGAACGGGAGCCACCGGAATGCCGGAGTTTGACCTCTCCCGGATTATCCCATCGGAAAAGCCCAGCCAGACTCTGTCCTACTTCCCCCGCGGTGGCGACGGCCCGGGGGGGAAGCCACCTCACCCCTCCGGCCCCCAGGGCTTCCCTCCCCAGATGCAGGGGATGATGGTGGAGGGGAACCCCAGGATGGGGATGCCCATGCAGGGGATGGGGGGTCCGCCGGGCCCCGGCCACATGGGGGGGCCCCAAGACATGCCAATGGGGAACCCTGGCCACAATCCCATGCGGCAGCCACACCCGGGCCACCCCGGCTTCATGCCCCAGGGCATGATGGGACCCCAGCACCGGATGCTGTCGCCGGGGCAGCAGCCGGGCATGATGGGAGGACCTGGGCCGGGGATGATGCAGGTTAAAGAGAGGGGGGGCCCCATGTACAATCACCCGGGCCCTGTGGGCTCGCCCAACATGATGATGTCACTCCACGGCATGGGTGGCCCCCAGCAGACTATGATGATGCCGCCTCAGATGAGGCCTCGCGGCATGGCAGGGGACATGGGCATGGGCTTCAACCCTGGTCCCGGAAACCCCGGGAACCTCATGTTCTGAGCTGCTACAGCCATGTATAAACTAAAGACCTGACTCGGAACCCACATGAGTCTAGAACCTGGAGTCTTGAACCTGAAGTCTAGAACCTGCGCAAACAAAGGAATACAAATGAGACTTGTGCTCTCTTAGGCAGTTGTTGTGTCGACTGGGGACGCATACATTCACACTGGCACATACTCACACACACATCACACACATCCCGAGACACTTTTGGGCTGATTTAGCAGTCTGCCGGGTGTGGTGGTGCAACTGCAGCGTGTTCCATGGAGGGGAAGGCAGATGTACACCATTTCAGAGGGGACTGACCTTTCTCTGTTGTTTGGGAAAACGTAGAATGTACGGGACGAGTCTAAGCTCCAGGGTTCTACGGACGGATAGGAAATGGGCCTCTTCATAAAAACTAAAAGGATGACCCGGGACCAGAGGTCCGTAGCTGTACTGTTGTTATAAGAACAGCCAAACAACTCAATGTAAAGAACAATAAAGGATTCAAAACACAACGAACTGAATGAAAAGACAAGCAGGTAACAGGTTTTTTTTTTGTGTCTCGAGTTGCACCATTTTTGGCTGTATGTTTACAGCTCATCTCATCACTACCCTCCAGAGATTCAATGCTCTTTGTATTTGTGTACTGTATTTGTGTTGTTAAAGGGATTTTACTAGTGACTTCTAGTTTGTTTTCCCATCTTCATTTGTAAAGGGGGGGGGGGGGGTAGCCAAACGTCGCTGCAACTCCCACTCCGAAATGCTGTTTACCATGTAGAGGGGGTGAAAGTATTTTAAAAACTGCGTTTTCCTTTGTTACTCTGTATAATATGCCAAACGATGACCTCATACAGATAATAGTATTATTAAAAAAGCACAAACATGATTTAACTGTAAAGAAAGTGTTTTCTTTTCTCTTTTTTATTGTAAAAAAAAAACACTCTGTAGGAGGGGTGATTCTCGGGCATATGCAGTGAGGTGCTGATGAGGCCTGGTTTAGATTTGGATATGCGGTTGTGGGTAGGGGGGGTGGGGGTGATGTCTGTCACACCTCAAACCCCTCTCTGCCCTGACGGACAGACGGACACGGCAGCAAGCAAAACCTCTGATCTCACCCTTCCAGGCTAGGAGTACATAGAGGAGAGTAAAGAAGAAGCAGCCCTAACCATGTCTGGATTACTTGGAGGGGTGGTGACCATGGAATTTTGCAGAGAAATTGTTTACAAAAATGCCACACAAAAAACTAAACAGAAAAAGAGGTAATAGGTTGTCTCTGTGTCCCTGCCTCTCCTGTGTTAACGCATTGTCATGTTGTGACTCCATTGAATTTGGTACAGGGCTGTGGTGTTGGAAGACAAATAAAATATATTGTTTGGTATACAGGTGGGCTGTGTTGTGTTTCGGTTTCAAAGGGCTTTTTCCTCACACACAGGGACACTGAATCCCAGCAAGGCTCTAGTGTAGTAGCTAGCTAGCCCCCATGACTCATCTAAGGTATCCATTCTTTAAAATGTACAACTTTTGGAATGTCTGTGTGGTTGTGTTTGTGGGAACTTATCATTAATAATTTACTAGGTGTCTCACATTCATATGTTTTGGTCATATAGCCTGTTGGTGCCCTTCACATCACAGTGTTTTAACAAACCTACATTTTAGAATAGTGAAGTCTGAAATATTCAATACATAACATCAATTTCCTCCAGAACTTTTAATGGTAAAGAATGGTGTCAGGAATAAGTTGTTCCTGCATATTCATTCAACAGTGTAGTTTGAAGTACAAATATTGGATCAGTGCCAGTGCTAACCAAATCTGTCCCTATGTCTGTGATGTGTCGTATAATATTTTCCCCTAGCACACCAGAATTCCCTTGACACAAGTTAAGCACACCTTTGGAGGAGTAATCTACATATGACTAATGTTATTTTCCATCAAAACAATATGGAAAAATCCTTTGTGTCAGTTGCAAAGGATCTCACACTGTATAGGGCAATATGGCCACCTAGTGGAGAAACACTGGTCAGTGGCGCTTACATCCCATTTTTACAGAGTCCTAATGTGGTACTCTACTCCAGTGGTTCTCAAACTTCTTGGGTTACTCTACCACCAATCACATTTTATTCTGCCCGGAGTACTCCAGAAGTACCCCCTCATGTGCATTTCACCAGTAAGCCTATGGTCTTATGAGACTCTTCAAGTACTCACTGTGGATAGGCCAAGTACCCCCAGGGGTGCCTGGTTGAGAACTACTGCTCTACTTACTAGAGCCTAGTGCATTGTTAAACCTTTTTTGTTGTTATTAAAGATCGGAACTGGCAGCAACATCCGACAGAATGGTGTTGGCCAATAGCACATGGGTTGAAATTATTTTACTCCTGTGTAGTGCTGAAATAATGCTTCAAGTGTATCAGGCCAAAATGATAACTATATAAGATCAGGGCTCGTATTCCTTAAAGCATCTCAGAGTAGGAGTACTGAGCTAGGATCAGGTCCCCTCCTCTTATTCATTGACTTAAAAGGCTAAACTGATCCTAGATCAGCACTCCTACTCTGAGACACTGAATTCAAGCAAAGGTATTGACTATCTATTTCCAATGAATGTCCATTCTTTCCCATTGTATGTAAATTAACCGCCAGGGAATTCTCTTTGGCTCCCATCCAGGCCATGCCCTGCGAAATGCTGGGAATCATTCCCCAGCCTATTATCAAAACGTTTGTAAACGCTGGGAATCATTTCCCAAGGTTTCCTCTGGCTCCGAATGTCCACCAAGACACTATAATTACCCAGCATTCCAGAGAGCAGCCTGGTCCGTTAGCCTGGCCAAGGGGGCTTCGCCCTCAGGGCTAATTTTAGAGAGGGTAAGTTTGTCCTGCAGCTGTGAAGCCTGCCATTCCTGCCTCTGGTTTATACGCACAGATTAAATATGGCTATAACGAGGGGTTCTAAAAGATCAGGACGAATGGAAACTGATACGGAAAATCAACAAATTATTGACCCTGTTGCTCGATAAGAAGCCAGTTTAAAAAAACGTCAAACCCAATATAGATGAGGTGTGTTCATAGGTTAGAAAATATGTCAAATACAGTGCATGACACATATGGGAAGTATATATTGAGTTTGTGCTCGTTTTACATTTTGTCATAATTAGTGTGAAGAGTTTGTGGTCTTTACAGGACACACAGTCAATATACAATATAGTGCAGATAGAACAGTGAACATATTGTCATCAGTGTGAAAAATAGAATCGCTCTACTTAAAATATTAGTAGATAAAATATATCGTTTGTAAATTCCTATCATATGTGTCACGGGTAAATGTGTTTTTAACAGCAGACTATATAAATATAATTTTACATACAAAATAAACAAAACATTTTAAAGACACAGATTTTCACATTGCTTTTTGCTAAAGTGCTAAGTTTACAAATATGTGATTGCAATGACACCACCCCAATACAATATAATTTACGTTAAACAAAGATGCATTGAAAATTAGCTAGACATTTTTTTTCTTAATTCTCATTTAAATTTAGTTTAGCATTTAAAAAAGTAAATCTGATAGACTTTGTAAAACACTACACAAAAAGATTCAGTAAATCAGTGCAAAACTATTTCAGTTTTCGACCACATACTTTGCCAGCTAAAAATGCTAGGTCCTATTTTATTTATACAGTACCACTCAAAAGTCTGGACACACCTACTCATTCAAGGGTTCTTCTTTATTTTTACTATTTTCTACATTATAGAATAATAGTGAAGACATAACTATGAAATAACACACATGGAATCATGTAGTAACCAAAAAAGTGTTAAACAAATCAAAATATATTTTATATTTGAGATTATTCAAAGTAGCCACCCTTTGCCCTGATGACAGCTTTGTACACTCTGTACAGAAGATAGCCCTATTTGGTAAAATACCAAGTCCATATTATGGCAAGAACAGCTCAAATAAGCAAAGAGAAATGACAGTCCAGCATTACTTTAAGACAAGACTTCAAGAACTTTGAAAGTTTCTTCAAGTGCAGTCGCAAAAACCATCAAGCGCTATGATTAAACTGGCTTTCATGAGGACCGCAACAGGAATGGAAGACCCAGAGTTACCTCTGCTGCAGAGGAAAAGTTAATTAGAGTTACCAGCCTCAGAAATTGCAGCCCAAATAAATGCTTCACAGAGTTCAAGTCACAGACACATCTCAACATTAACTGTTCAGAGGGGACTGTGAATCAGGCCTTCATGGTCGAATTGCTGCAAAGAAACCACTACTAAAGGACACCAATAAGAAGAAGAGACCTGCTTGGGCCAAGAAACATGAGCAATTGACATTAGACCGGTGGATAATTTGTCCTTTGGTCTGGAGTCCAAATGGGAGATTTTTTGTTCCAACCGCCGTGGCTTTGTGAGACGCAGTGTGGGTGAACGGATGATCTTCGCATGTGTATTTCCCACTGTAAAGCATGGAGGAGGTGTCACGCCCTGGCTCTGGGGACTCTTTAATGTTGAGCCAGGGTGTGTAGTGTCTGTGTTGTGTTTTCTATGTTCTTGTTCTAGTTCATGTGTTTCTATGTTGGCCGGGGTGGTTCCCAATCAGAGGCAGCTGTGGCTTGTTGTCTCTGATTGGGAACCATACTTAGGCAGCCTGTTTTGCACTTGTCATTTGTGGGATCTTGTTCCGTTTAAGGTTTGTTTTGGTGTTTAACCTTGGACTTCACGTATCGTTTTGGTTTGTTGTTTTGTTCGTGTGTACTAGTAAATAAAGAATGTACGCATATCACGCTGCGCCTTGGTCCGTTGTGTATGACGATCGTGACAGGAGGAGATGTGGGGGTGCTTTGCTGGTGACACTGTCTGTGATTTATTTAGAATTCAAGGCACACTTAATCAGCATGGCTACCACAGCATTCTGCAACGATACGCCATCCCATCTGGTTTGGGCTTAGTGGGACTATCATTTGTTTTTCAACAGGACAATGACCCAACACACCTCCAGGCTGTGTAAGGGCTATTTTACCAAGA